AAGGGGTAGTGGCTGTTTTGTTTTTGTGTCCTCTGTCTGGGTGTCTTAGTATTTGTTACCTCGTAAGATCTGTTTTTCCAAAATCTACTACCTTGTAGGGACCCACTGCTCCTTACAGGACTCAAAGGTATTTTTGGTTTGAGGGTTAGGATTAGGACTAAGGTGTTGTGGAAATTATTTAACTAGAAACCGCAATACATGATTCAAGGGAAAACAAAGTTGCTTTATGAATGGTCTTCTGAGATCTTTATTGCAACATTAGGAACACAGAAATCAACACAGAGCCAGACAGACTCACTGTCAAGATTTGTGTTAACAGGCAGTTCTACTACCAACTATTTATACAGTTTTACCATAAAATGCTATATTCAACAGAAAATGACTTCATTTTCAGGCTCTGTACTAGGTMAACCAAACTAAACGCAGCCCTGAACTTTTCAAGATGCTTTTTGACAAAAGGAACAGACCCTGGAGGGATTACTTGTGCCGTCATTCAGAACAGATGCATTCTGGGAAGAGAGAAGAAACCCACTCTTCTCTWGCTAAACATTTTTTGAAACAACAACACTGCGGTTTAAGATCTGCTCAAGACCCAAACATGACCTCTTTGCCCTGCAAAACACACATGCRCTCTGTCAGGAAACCCCCCTTTTGAGCTGAGTTCTGGGCAGCATGATTAACTGGCAGTGGAAACATCGCCCTGACTCACTAAAGTGTTTTCAGGATGTAGAGATGATTGTTRTGAAAGGAACTCCTGTCTTTCATCACTACGTGTTGATGCTGCTAATGTAGCTAAAAAGAAATTCTACAGCTAAGACGTTGATGTCTTATGCTGATATATCAAGCAATGTCACAAGAAATCATTCACGTGCTGTGAATAACTCTCAGCTACTACCACATCAAATTTTAGATCTATATTGGTAAAATAATGGAGTTACAGCTATTTTTGCTGTGGCAGCCATCTTAAATTGAGGTGACTCCAAAAGTTAAYCTGTTGGACATTGATTAGTTTCTGCAAGTTTCACGTAAATTTGTGTACTGGGTCGTGATGTTTTGTTAACAGACATTGGCAGAACCATTTYTCAATTTACCTTTCTGCAGTAAAAACAGCTTCATGTTGAGGACAATGGAAGGAAGGGAGGGGACTGAGAAAAAGGAGGTGTAGTAAGAGGCTAGATGTTTAGGAGGGAGAAAAGGTGTGGGCGGGTTGGTTGGAGTTTATTTTCTTGCCCTCAGGCCTTGTTTGAGGGTGGTCCTTCTCCACAATACTTTGTTTTCCAAGCTCGCTTCAGATTTTTGATGACAAACACACTCTTGCATGTAGTTTTGGCTTTTTGACCACCCTGGTGGAGGAGGAGGGTTGAGCAGGTTGCAACAAGCTGTATGAGGCAGTAAATGGAGCAGTAAAGTGTTCTCGCTGTTTTCTGTCCTGTAAATACAGGCTGATGTAGTGAAAGTGATGTAAGCTTCATGTTGTGTCACTGAAAGATGCTGATTCTTCTTCTCCTCAATGAAGAATCGCTAATATATCCACATGACTGACATTGATCTCATCTGCACTGATGTTCAAACTTGTTTTAGAGTTTGGTAAAATTTCATGTATCTTTAAAGAAATTATATTTTATATTATTACTATATTATTTTATTTTATTTTTTTACT